CTCTTTTGTTTGTATTGCATGAACAACTCTCCAATTGTCCAAAAGCTACAAATTTTAGATTGTATTAGTGTTTAATATTTGGTTTAATATTGTAGCAATATAACATACTTGTTTTAAATTTTATTTTGTATTAATATTAGTTGTTTTAGTTGATAATAATATAAAAAAAATTAAAAAATTTATTTTAAAATTTAGTTTGTTTCATTATTTATTTTACAAGTTGATAACATTGAATTTTCACTAAAATATCAAATTATTTAAATTTATTATGAAATATTTAAATTTTTATAAATATAAGTTATGTTGATCTGATTAACTTAATCCAATCAACCCATTAGTGATTGGGGTGGGTAAGTTGGATTTCACAATAAAAATACATAAATCCAATCCATCATGATCTATTGAATTTTGATTAACTTGAATAACAAATCCTTCTAAGTCCAACCTAACCCAATTCACTTACACATCTAATTAGACTCCCAAATAATGAAAAATAAATAAATAAATATATATATATATATATATATATATTCAACAAAAGATAAGGTGTTAAATATATATATATATATATATATAAAAGGAGGGATTCATTTACTCTAAAAGTATGTCTACCTAGACTTATTCTACTCAATAACTCATGTTTTACAACAAATTTTAATTATTCAACCATTGAATTTAAAATTCTCAATGCATAGATTAAATCTATAATTTTTTTTAAAATTGAAAATCACTTGATATTTCATTTCAATAATTCAAATCAACGTATAAAATGATTTTATGATTATCCATCAATTTGAATTATTGAAACGATGTATCAAATAATTTTTAATTTTTTAAAAAAATTACAGATCTGATCTATGCATTAAAAATTAATTTTAACAGTTGAATTATTGAACTTTGATATATAACATGAGTTATTAAACAGAGTAAATTTAGATAGACAAATAAATTCATCCTCTATATACGTGATAAGTCACATAATATATATATATAAAGGATCCATTTATTCTATGAGTAAGTTCATCATTCAATAACTCATGTTTTACATCAAATTTTAACGATCCAACTATTGAATTTAAAGTTTTTAATACATAGATCAAGTTTACAAATTTTTAGAAAATTTGAAAATCATTTAATACTTCATTTCATTAATTTTAATTGACGGATAATCATAAAATCATTTTATACATTGATTTGAATTAATGAAATGAAGTATCAAATGGTGTTTAAATTTTTTAAAAATTTACAAATTTGATATATACATTAAGAACTTTAAATTCAACGGTTGGATCGTTGAAATTTGATATAAAATATGAGTTATTAAACAGAGTAAGTCTAGATAAACTTACTCCGAGAGTAAACAAATCCTTCCTTTTATATATATATATAGATATAAAATGTCCATGAGGTATTTCCACTTTTCCGGTGTCCATAAAACATATTTATTAGATGAAATGAGCTTACATGCTAAAAATAAAGATTTTAATAAATTATATGAGAATTTTTTTATAAATTAGTTTAAGTATAGACTAATTTTAAGTTTAAAAAAATCTTATTTTTTCTCTTGAAAATATTTTTTTAAAAAAATTATCCAAATATACTTTTAATAATATTAGACAAATATGTTATAAAAAGTTTAATAAAGATATATTATTGATGGGGTTATTTTATAATATTTGTCTGAGAGGATATTTTATGAGAATTGTTTTAATATGGTTATTACACACTACTAGAAAATGACTATTCAACATCGTCAATTCTACAACTTAGCAACCAACATTGTGTTACAATAATTAGAGCTTGATACTTATTTTCATTAATTCAAATTGATGGATAATCATAAAAGTATTTTATATGTCGAATTGAATCTATATATAAAAAAATATGATATGATTTCAAGTTAAATTTTTTTTTGGAAGTTTGACTATATATTAAAAATTTGATGTAGAACATGATTTACTGAGTGAAATAAGTCTATCAAGACTTACTCTTAGAATAAGTGTATCTCTCCTTTTAACACTTACTCAATGACTAAGTCTATGAATTTTTTTTAAAAATATAAAACTTATTTAATATTTTATTTCATTAATTCAAATTAATAAATAATTATAAAAATCTTTTATATGTTTATTTGAATATTTATAATGAAGTATTATTAGTTTCAATTTTTTTTTAAAATTTATAAACTTAATTTATATATTAAAAAGATCAACATCATATGCAACTTCTTTTGCAATTTTATACATGATGCAATCCATATAAGCTCTTAATTTCTTTAAAAAAAATGTATAAACTTCTTCAGGCTTTTCATAGCCACCAATATCTCCTTAAATGAATTCTTAAAGCTCAAGATACCACACAAATGGACTTCATATTTAAGACATCCATTCTAAGTCATTTTGAGTTCTACATTCTGAAGCTTCATTATAATATTTATGCTATATTGATTTTGAGCCACCTTCTAAGAGTTATTTTGAATCAATCTTGAGTTTACTTTAATTGGTGTTCTAAATTCCCTAATCAAACTCATCAGTGGCATAAATACTTAGAAGGCTTATGAATTTTGTTTATAAGATTTTTATAATTAAAACATAAAGGGTTTGAACTAAAAAATCTCCCATTTTTTATGATGAACAGTTTTTGAACAAATTCCAAGTTTTTGAAGGGTTTATCAACATATGATAGTTTATAAACAACTTCCCTCAATATATACATCTATTCCAAGTACATTCATTAAGAGAAAACATATATGAAGACATTTGTTCAAACAAAGACATGAATGAATAAGACATAATACAATTAAGCACAAACATATCATTTATCATATATTTTTATCTCTCCTTATTTTGGCATCCATCAAAAGAAGGGTGCACAAGTCAAAAGACTTCTTTAAGTCAATTTGTATAGATGAGATGACACATAGAGTAAGGGTTTGCATAGATATGGGATAATAGAAGGTTTATGATCCCATATCCCAAAAAAAATGTATTGTCTTTTTAAAGACCTATTAATGCACTCATCATTTGATTGAATGTATTTCTCAAAAATACATTATGCACACGAATGTAGAAAGGGATAATGAAGCTTTGGAGAACTATACTTAATGTCTAAACTAGAGGCAATAAGGACAATAGTTCCATAAGAGTACCATGGACTGGTTGAGTTCAAAAAGGGTGGTGATGTTAGTCTAAAGATGGCAAACCAATGGATTAGTAATACGGAGAAAATATTTAAGGTTATGGCTTGCATTAAGGATAAAATGTGACTTATCTAGTGTTTATGCTAAGTGGTGAAGTTGAGTATTGGTGGAGTGGTACCAGATGATGGAAGCTAGAAAGGAAACTATGAGTTAGGAAAACTTTAAAAGAGTATTTCTTTAGAAGTATTATTTTGAACAATTGAGTATTGACTTTATGTAAAGGATGTTGAATTCTTGAGATTATATTAAGAGAATATACCAATACAAGAGTATGTAGTCAAGTTTGAACAATTGGCTCGGTACTACTCTTTGACCATATATGAGGCTTGGAGATGTATAAAATTTAGTGAAGGTTTAAGACATGATTAGAAGAGGATTGTGGTCCCTATGGACATTAGTGAGTTTTTAGCCTTAATGGAGAAGACAAAGACTTTTGAGAGGCTGGAAGGTGGTAACAAGTTGTTAAAGTCTTTTGAAGGGCCAATTGGATCCAAGAAGGGTAGTCATCAAAGGAAACCTTGTGATAAACCTTAACCTCAACACGATGGTTGATGAAACTAAGTAACTGTAAAAGAAATTAAGTTGCAGGTTACTTTCATGATGATTAAAGAGGCCTAACCTATTATTCCTCTCTAAATGTGGGATTAACCTATTCTTAAGGAATTTTATTTTCTTGGGGCCCTCTTGAACCCTTTTATTCTACCTAAACTCGAACTATATTTTTCAAGTTTTTCTAAAGGAGGTTTGTTACTAACTTCTAAAATGAATTGCCTTCGGTGTCCTATTTGATCACTTAAGCCCCTAGAAATTAAATTATTTACAACTAAATTTCCTTGGCTTCCTAAAGAATGAGGTGATCTAGAGCCACCATGACTAAGACACTTCTTAGGAACAAAATGTTGTCCCTAAGATCGAAAGGCTCGATAAAGAGCATTGAACTCCTTGTTATGGGTGGGGTAGTTGAGAGTGGCACCAAAATGAGTTATCTTTAAAGAAGAAATAGAATGCCTACCTTCAACAAAACAACTCCCATACCTAATCCAAATGCAGAATATTCTAGCTCAAAAGTTGTAGAAATATCTTCCTCCTTTTCACTCCACTCACCTTCTAAGAGTTGTTTTGCTTTTTTTGCTCATTTTTTCCTCACAAGCTTCATTTGTATTTGATCTTCTATCATTTGGATAGGTGTAAGAGGGTGTAACACAAATTTCTTATCTTTATGGGTGAGGTATATTTCATTAGTAAGGTCATTGTGTATGGATTTTCTATCAAATTGTCATGGCCTTCCTAACAAAATATGACAATCTTCCATGAGAGCTACACCATACAAACTTTGTTCTTATAATTACCGATAGAAAACTTGACCTTCACTTATCCTCTTTTTCATTAAGCCATTGAAATTTGTAAGATTTTGGATGAGGAATGGTAGTAAGGCCTAACTTAGCAACCAACATTGTGTTACAATAATTAGAGCTTGATACTTATTTTCATTAATTCAAATTGATGGATAATCATAAAAGTATTTTATATGTCGAATTGAATCTATATATAAAAAAATATGATATGATTTCAAGTTAAATTTTTTTTTGGAAGCACAAGCATATTCTACAATGATGAAATATTGTTCACTTTGGGCTTAAGCCCTCACGATTTTTCTTTTGGTCATCACCCAAAAGACCTCTCGATCATTGAAGTATGTTTGTATTATATAAATTGTTATTTCTTGTCTTATTTTATCGATGTGAGACTTGTTTATATCCCAACAATTATCTGTATAAAAAATAATAAATAAATATGTTACCTGGTAGCCTTTGTATTTGATCAACTCTTTCAACCTATCTACAACATACAAGAAACCCTCTTTATCGAAATAACAGAGGTCCCCAGTCCTTAACCACCCATCCACCAAGGTTGCTGAAGTTGCTTCTGGGTCACCCACATAGCCTTCTCTTACATCGTCCATGCATTGTGTATGAAACAAACAATCATCAATTAATCTCATCTTAGAAAAATTAAATGGTGTAATTGATCAAAGACTTAACTGTTATATATATGTGTATATGAGTTAGAGTATGATGGGTATATTGAAAAAAATTTCATGTCTAGGAATTAGGAATCATGATTCCTGAATTATGATTTTAATAAATTAAAATTTATTTGATTGATCATAAATTTTATATATTTTTTTAGAAATTAAATATTTTTATATTTATTTATTTTTTATAAAATTTAATTATTTATTATTGTAATTGAGACAATGAAAGTAATATGATATTTTATCATGATAAAATGTTTTTTTTTTAATTTGGAAAGGTTAAATTTAAATCTTTTCATTAGAACAATTTCGCGAGAAACAAAAGTTAAAAAAAAATTCCAAAAAGCAATGTTTCTTGGAAAAATAATTTTTAATGATAAACTAAATATTTTAAACTGAAAAACTAAAATTTTCCCATATGTCAAACACCACTTTAATATAAATAATTTTACACATCAACTATTAATTAGTGACAAGTGTTAATTAAGTATTAATTACCTTTCATAACTAAAGGTCCTTTAATCCAGAGTTCTCCTTGTTGTTCAGGAAGCATGGCTTCCCCAGTGTTTGGGTTAACAATTTTGGCTTCAATTCCTGCATTCAATCTACCTGTTGTTCCCAATCGATGAGGCTCCTCTGGACTCGTTCGAACTACCGCAGCAGTTGACTCAGTTAAACCGTATCCCTACATTATTTAATACATCATTTTTTATTTATTTATAATTTCTTAATACAAAAGTTGTTAAAGGGATATGAAAAGAACATACACAAGTATGATCCAACTTTTATCTTTTTCTATAAAGTCTTCTTCGTAACATAGTCAAAAAATAAAAATATTATAAATATTATCGCAATATAAAAATCATAATATAAAGTTAGTAGAAAGACCTACAGATATCGTAAATTGGCAATAATAAAATACTAGTAATATTGACTTAAAAATACTCTTTCTATATTTATTTATTTGAAAAAAATGAAAAAGAAAAGTGAATCAACTTTTTTTTCACTTGTCTATGTAAAAAAATAATAATATAAAATAATGAAAGAAAAGTGATTGTTATACACCGTTATTATTTGTAATAAACTTAATACATTCCATTTGCATATATATTTTTATTTGCTTTTCGTCTCATTTCATTATTGTATTTTCGTTATTTAACTTCTAGTTTTTATTTTCTAACTATTTTTTTTTTATATAAAACATAGTGAAATTTTACTAAAGATAATATTTTTCAAGATAAAATTATTATGAATAATAAAATTTTTTTCCTTCTTTTAATGTTCTTTGACTAAATATAAAGTTATTTTTTATTTATTTAAATTAGTAAGTAAAAGACCCTCCATGTTCTTATTTGAATACATCCGAATTGGTGAAGATAGTTGATAATTATTAAGAGATTTAAAAAAAATTATATATCAAAATTTCTTTTATATATAAATATAAATAATATTTAATATGTATTTATAATTATTTTAATATAATAATATTGGTAAGAGTACCAAAATTAATATCCTCGAAACCATGATAACATTATTAAATTCAATACCAATTAAATTGAACACGTACTTTTTGTTTAGCTAGTTTGACTCTCTCGAACTTTTTTATTTTGTATCAATTTATTTTCTCTTTCATAGATATTTTCCATCAGTGGGATGTGATCCATGTGGAGGACGTTAAACGACTGAAAAGCCGTTTGAATTGTGAACCAGAATAATTTAGTATTAATACATTAAATACTTTAGTTATTCTCATTTCTTTCCTTTGAATTAAAAAGAGAAGAAAAAAAGCATTCATTTGTTTCAAAAAATAAAAATTCCTACGAGTGGATTAATGATTTTAACTTGCGACTAAATTAAATATTTATTTGTATATAATAAATATTATAAATTTATAAATTTTGAATATATTATACTTTAAATTTAAAATATTTATTACCTATAACAATATAAAAGAGATATTACTTTTTTGTGTTCAATTTTTGAAAGATAGTTATATGTCTTTCACTCTTTGTTATATTTTAACTGTTTTTTTAATAATGTATCTTTATTTTTTATAAAATAAGAAAAAAAATATTGAAAATAATTACCTTCTTCAAAAATAATAATTATTCACTTTTGTTTTACAAAAAATACTTATTTAATTTTTTTTATTAAAATATACTTCTGATTCTTTTATTTTATTGATTTGCGATATTAATCCTTTTATTTTAAAATTTAGATTTTAATATCTTTAATTTTAATAGAATATACAAAAAAAAAATCATCTCATTAAATTTACATTAATAATAATTAAGTTTTTATATTTATTCATACTTAAATGATATGTTATTTTATAATATGATATTTAAAATAAAAAAAATTAAAAAATATA